CAGTTGTCAACTGCTAATTATCTTGGGATAGAGTACCAAACTTATGATTTTCATTTGCTATGAAACCAGTATTCTAACACATATAAACACACTGCATATATTATAAAATACACACACACACATATATGCATTACCATTCATAACAACAACAAAAAAGGTTTCCGAAGACCAAAATGGTATTGACTTACCACAGAGCTGGAAATTGAGGTATTAACCAAAGATGCATCAGCAGCACCCGAGGATGGGGCTTTATTCAAAGAGGCATCACCATCCCTTTGAGAACAGCATGTAGCTTCCTGCTTAACACTGCTGCTATTGATCCTAGCAGATGCTCCACTTGCAGAGGAAAATTTGGATAAACAAGTGGTACCAGGCTGTTCTTGTACACTGTTTTGCTTTGCAGATGAGTAATTTACATCATCTTCCCAGGAGCAAATAGTTGCAGCAAGGTTGGCCAGACGGCCCCTTCTCCCAAGTGGAGTTGCTGAGGCAGCTGCAGAAGGTATTTTGGCGGGGGAGGCAGCCTTTTCCTCTGCTGGCATTGGTGGGAGGAGTGAGCTTTTGGGTATATCATCTGAAAATGTTTTCAGAAAGAGTTAAAAACCATGGTCAAGACTTATACTTACATATTATACCAGGACCACTCCATAAAAACTTTTTAAATGGTTTAAGAACCAGTAAAAAGCTCTTGCATGCGTAAAACTACCAATTTTTGTCAATTTTAAATTTGACAATATCTTTTCAAATCAGATGATAATTAATCCAAATATCTTTTTAAAAAAAACAGTTTTACCTATTTTGTTTAATTTTTTGATGAATTATGAGTGCTATAACATACCATACAATTCAGTTATATTTTTAGAATTGGAAATTCCAGGGCTGGCCCGTGGCTCACTCGGGAGAGTGTGGTGTTGATAACACCAAGGCCCCGGGTTCGGATCCCATATAGGGATGGCCGGTTCGCTCACTGGCTGAGCGTGGTGCTGACAGCACCAAGTCAAGGGTTAAGATCCCCTTACCGGTCATCTTTAAAAAAAAAAAAAGAATTGGAAATTCCAGGGCTGGCCCGTGGCTCACTCGGGAGAGTGTGGTGTTGATAACACCAAGGCCCCGGGTTCGGATCCCATATAGGGATGGCCGGTTCGCTCACTGGCTGAGCGTGGTGCTGACAGCACCAAGTCAAGGGTTAAGATCCCCTTACCGGTCATCTTTAAAAAAAAAAAAAAAAAAAAAAGAATTGGAAATTCCATAAAGAAACTAGAATGTGGAAAATTCCAGAAAGAAACAATTCATAAGTTTTAAATTACATGCCGTTCTGAGCAATGTGATAAAATCTCATGCCATCCCCCTCCATCCTACCGGGGATGTGAACCATCCCTTTGTATACCATATCCACAATGTATATACTCCCACCCATTAATCACTTAGCCACCTAGGTTATCAAATCGCACATGGTGGTGTCACCATGCTTGTGGTCAGTTACCCTTACTTCACTTCATAATGGCCCGAAAGCGCAAGAGGAGTGATGCTGGCAATTCGGATATACCAAAGAGAAGCCAACAAGTGCTTCTGTTAATTAAGTGAAAAGGTGAAAGTTCCTGACTTCACAAGAAAAGAAAACTAATCATATGCTGAGGTTGCTAAGATCTACAGTGAGAATTAAATGTCCCCATGAAATTGTGAAGAAGGCAAAAGAAATTCATGCTAGTTTTGCTATTGCACATCAAGCTGCAAAAGCTATAGCCACAGCGTGTGACAAATGCTAAGATGGGAAAGGCATTAAATTTGTGGGTGGAAGACATGAACAGAAACATGTCCCAACTGACAGCAACTGGGTTCGGTACTATCCACTGTTTAAGGCACCCACTAGGAGTCTTAGAACATATTCCCCGAGGATAACGGGGCACTACTGTATGCTCATGTCCTTCCCATCTTAAAAATAATAATAAATATACTCTCATCAACATACACCCTCTTTATCTACTGCCCCTCTTTTCCTGCACGATATTCACTCACTACTCAACTCACTTAACTGTCCTTCTGCCTATAATACTGTACTGACATTGGTTTTGTTATTGTCACTAGATGCCATACACTTTGCAGGTCCTGTATTTCTTGACAGCTCTAAAATATACCACTCCCTTTTCATTTGTGACATCAGTCTCTGCTCTTGTATCTTCATGGCCTGTCTTTCATGGTCTTCCAACTACCAATTATCTCCATTTGGCTCTCCCACAGGCATTCCAACAAATAACATCAACTATCCAGTTACTGGGGCCAGAAATCTGGCCTCTTCCTCTCTTTTCCTTCATCCTCCACCATCCAGTTGTTAAGTCCTATAGATTCCTTCTCCTAAATCCAGCTTCTCCTCTTCACTTCCTTAGGGCTTCACTATATGTACCCAGATGATTACATTAGCCTTCTAGTTGGTTTCCCTGTTTCAAATCTCTGCCCTGTCCAATCCCTCCTCAATTCCAATGCCAGTGATCTTTCTAAAACCCCTGCCTGCTTTAAACTTCTCAGTACCTCCCCATCACCTCCTACTTAAATTTCTAGCTTAACTGCCTCTGCCTCCTCCAGAAAAGCTTCCTGACCACCAGTTTCCCTACAATACTCTTTAATATACCTCTATCACCTTCCTTAGAATAAGCAGTCCTCTAAGCAGATGACAGTTTTATTGTTGTGTGTTAGGAATGGGCTTAAGAGACCTCTAGCTCTTCTAATTAATCTCTGTCAAAAAGAAAGCCTTCGAATAAATTATATTTTAGTATAAGTCCTCAAACATTTAACTGACTTATACCTGCAGCCTTATTTAGTATTCACTAAACTATTCATTACAAACACTTTATTCACAAGTGTCACTTCTTAAATTCAGACAGGATATGGTGCCTTAATGAGAGTTATTTTCAAGAATGAGGCAGGCATTTGTTAACATTTAACATTTCAAAATGTACAAAATCACTGCAGTGCTTTAAGCTCCAAAATGCTTAGGTTCTTGGTTGTTCTTTTGACAATGTGTTAAACCACGACACTCTTTTTATTTATTTATTTTTTTAAAGTAAAATCTGTACTCTGCTACCCATAGATATTTCCTATAAAATAGAAATGGGGCATCCTTCTATTCAGGCACATTTACTGGTTAGCCTCCTCAGGCTTTACAAAGAAATATTTTTAAGTCTGCCCATTACTAAAATGAATAGGTACTAATTGATACCATAAACTATCTGCACTCTATTATATGAAAAAAAAGAAAAACAAAAAACAGGAAGTTCACAGCAATTAAGAGTAGGAGGTCTAGAGTCAAAGTATTGGGGTTTGAATTTTAGCTAGCTGACCATGGGCAGGTTTCTCAGGTTCTTCTTCTGTAAAATGAAGATAAAGTGGTATATATTTCATAAGATTGCTATAAGAATTAAATACTATTAGTACAAAAAATATTTATACTACATTAGAACAAAATATAGGTACAATGCCTAGCACATTACACAGTAAATATTTCTTTTTTTTTTTTTTTTTTAAAAAGATGACCGGTAAGGGGATCTCAACCCTTGGCTTGGTGTTGTCAGCACCACCCTCAGCCAGTGAGCAAACCGGCCATCCCTATATAGGCTCCGAACCCGTGGCCTTGCTGTTATCAGCACCACACTCTACCAGGTGAGCCACGGGCCGGCCTACACAGTAAGTATTTCTCTGGAGATTATTATAATCACTGACAGAAAACATAATCTTAAACTCTCTGCTATCCAATACTAACCAAAATTTCAGTTAAAAGAACTGATGTTTATGGAAGACTGCCTGAAATATACATAATCCATCCATTTCTTCTAATCACTTGGTCTCAATTCTGTCTATGCATCAGAATTACCTAAAGAGCTTTAAAAAAATAAGACAAAAGCACACCCTTCACCGAACTTCTGAGATTCTAATCCAATGGTCTGAGTGATTCTGATACACATCAGCTGGGCTGAGAACCACAGCTTAAGAAATGCTTCCTTAAATAAGGCCCAGTAACAAGTGAGCTGTCCACCTGCATTGAGCTGTCTGCCTACACTGTGATGGTTTACATTAGGATTGCTTCTACTGAACTGAACTTGGAGCCAGGCCATCTGCCTACCTTGAGAAACCTTACAGGTTTACTAACTCCCACAGACATCTTTGAAGACACACAGAAGAAAGTTCTCTCATGTCTTAGTGCCAAAGATGGTTCTGCAGGCCGGCCCATGGCTCACTCGGGAGAGTGTGGTGCTGGTAACATCAAGGCCATGGGTTTGGATCCCATATAGGGATGGCCAGTTAGCTCATTGGGTGAGTGTGGTGCTGACAATGCCAAGTCAAGGGTTAAGATCCCCTTACCAGTCATCTTTAAAAAAAAAAAAAATGGTTCTGCTTTTAGTTTATAAACATTAGTCATGTAAAGTGTTTCACCTCTTTGCATTGGCTGCTAGCAAGAGGAGGACCCTAACTTTACCTTTCACTTCTTTGTTTTTATGAAAATATGGGAAGCCATATTTTCTCTTCACCCCGATTTCCTTATTTTCCTTGTTTTGTAATACAGGTAGTGATTTTTTAGGCATCTCATGGCTTTTTTTGTAACAAGTTGGGAGATAAATAAAATTGATCATGGCACAAATAACCCTGCTGCATAATTGCTGACTTAATTTTCAGGCTCTCCATCTGATTATAGGTTCATGAAAGGCAAAAATCAGGTCACTGGATCTGTTTCCAGCACTGTGGCACAACAGCACACTTTGCAGGTGCTCAATATATGTTTTCTGACATTTTCTCTCTCCCTACTGAACACTGCATACCTTAGTCCCTCAAGTTTATTTAATTAGTGAATCCATGAAGAAGGATTTCTTGAATACAGAGCTGAGGGTCAGCAATGCTAATGATGCCACGTATAGTTTGTTCTTTACTGTTTTTCATTGTAAATATAAGGCAATTCAGTTACAAGATCAGGCTTCTGTGCACTAGTCTAAGAAACTCACCATCATCTACTTCAATGAGAACACAATCAACTGGTAATTAAAGATACTATTGGTGTACAAACCATCTGTAAGCAAAGGATACTCAGGATATAGATAAAACAAAAGCATTTACCTTTCATGTGCTAACTGATAAAATTTTCAACGCACCAAACTGAATCTTATTGAAACAGATTTACAGAACATACCATCCATATAATTTGTACCTGTCATACTGTTATTATCCCAATGGCGCCGTTGCTCTGCAAGTTTTTGCATTCGTGTTTTAACTGAGGAGGCTGCAGTTGTGTCCAATCTTGAGTTCAGCTCTCTTCTCATGCCCAGCAGAGATGCTGGGACAGCCACAGAATCACTGACAGTAGTTGGTTCTTGTGACTGAGCCTGAGGAGACACAGGACCTGGAGAACAAGACTTTGCAGGAGCTGACTCAACAGGTTGTTTATTTTCCAAGTTAGAAACATCTACTTCAGTGTTGTCAGAACAGCGTTTTTTTGATGGTGATGGTTTTGTACAAGATTTCTCTAGATTAAAAAGGACGAAAAAAAGACATTCAAAATTCTGTAATTTCTCACAGCATGAAAACCTTGAAGTAGGTACTTAATAAATTAATAAAACATGTTTCTCTATTCCTTTAAATAATTTTAGTTACAGTAAGAAATATTTAAAACCCCACTCTCAGCAATTTAGAAATCTGGTAACTTTGGATTAAAATAATAAAATTCAATAAATTAATTTCAAGTATTTGTTAAAAGAAACTCTGCTCCATCCTGATAGATTCTAGGCCTAATATAATAACCCTGAAGTAGACTAGAAGGCTGCTCATTCCCCCAGAGGCTATTACATTTGTCTCCCAAAGACCTTGGTTCTCCTATATGCATAAAGAAATGTTTGAGCCTTATCTCCTTTAAAAAATGCAAATTTAGGGCCAGCCTGAGGCTCACTTGGGAGAGTATGGTGCTGATGGTGCCAAGGCCACGGTTTGGATCCCTATATAGGGATGGCTAGTTCACTCACTTGGGGGTGCATGGTGCTGACAATACCAAGTCAAGGGTTAAGATCTCCTTACCGGTCATCTTTTAAAAAAAAAAATGCCAATTTTACTTTTCCCCTCATCTTTTACCTTCACCACCAGATGGAGGCTGCTGGTTACTTGTTTCAGTAAGTGGTTCTCTGGATCGCTTAGCATGAGTTGCAGACCTTGCAGCTGCTGTGGGCCTTCCAGCCATTTTTCTCTGAAGATTTTCTCGCCTGGCACGGGTTCGCTCCAGCAGTTTCTACATATATATCAGAGAATTAAAACATGCATTTAGCAAAAGGCTTGAAAAAAAGGGACTTTAATGATATGATTAAGAATCTTGAGATGGAGAGATTATTCTGGATTATCTGGGTGGGCCCAACACAATCACAACTGCCCTTACAAAGGAAAATAGGGAGGCAGGAAAGTCAGAGTCAGGGAAGATGTAACAATGGAAGCAGAGGTCAGAGTGATATGATTGGTGGCTTTGAAGATGGAGATCGAGCCACAAGCCAATGAATGCAGGTGGCCTTTAGAAGCTGTAAAAGGCTAGAAAACAGATTCTCTCCTAGAACCTCCAGAAGGAACACAATCCTGCCAACACCTTGATTTGAATGCAGTAAAATCCATTTCAGACTTCTTACCTACAGAACCGCAAGACAATAAATATGTGTTATTTTAACCCACTAAGTTTGTGGTAATTTGTTGCAGCAGCAAAACGAATATAGCCACTAACATTTGGGGTGATGGTAAGCAGCAACAGATAACTGACATATTAGTGCTTTGAAAACATAAGAGGGCCGGCCTGTGGCTCACTCGGGAGAGTGCGGTGCTGATAACACCAAGGCCACGGGTTCGGATCCCATATAGGGATGGCCGGTTCACTCACTGGCGGAGTGAGGTGCTGACAACACCAAGTCAAGGGTTAAGATCCCCTTACCGGTCATCTTTTAAAAAAAAAAAAACTCGGGAGAGTGCGGTGCTGAAAACATAAGACATTTCCCAAAGGAAAAAAAAACTAAATGATCTTATGTTTTATTTAATTAAATATCAATATATAACAAAATAGTATTAAGTTAAAATCTTAGCCATTCCATAAAATCATCAATACTCCTCTTTTCTTATCTCAAATCAACTGATGTTCCTATTTAAACTGGTGTTATAAAACTCAAATACAAGACCCTGTAAAGCAATTCATTTTCTTTCAAATGTGCACAACTAAAGGAGGGATGTAGATAATTACTGATGTGCACACAGACATACCATAGTTCATGCAGACTGAGGAATTAAATTCCATTTGACCTTTTTAACTCATTAGTTAAAATAGACTAACAATTTTTTTAAAATTCCTCTCAGTATGCCAGGGAAGCATAAGCTAAATCTGAAAGAAGGTATGACTCTACTTTTCTTAGGAATCATTTCTAGTTTAAAGTTCACTACAAGGGCCGGCCCGGTGGCGCACTGTTACAGTGTGCAGCTTGGGAGCGTGGCGGCGCTCCCGCCGAGGGTTCGGATCCCACATACAGACCGGTTCCCGCTCACTGGCTGAGCGAGGTGCAGGCGCAGCACCGAGGTTTGCGATCCCATTGCCGGTCCCGGTCTGGTACGGGCGCGACACTGAGGGTTGCGATCCGTTGCCGGACACGAAAAAAGACAAAAAATATATATATATAAAAAAAATAATAAAGTTCACTACAAGAAGCGAGGGGCTGGCCAGTTAGCTGAGTTGGCTGGGGCATCGTGCTGATAACACCAAGATCAAGGGTTTGAGCCCTGTACCAGCCAGCCAACAACAACAAAAAAAGTGACACTAAGCCAAAATACTGTATCACTGAAAGAGTAATTTATGAACCAAATGCCTCCCACAAGACCTCTAAATAAAAGTGTCCTTCAACAAACTCAAAAATGATCACATTGTTACACAAATTCACATATATCTGATAATTTTCCCCATGATAAAATATATCACTCCCCAGGTATACCACTAACCTGATTATATTAATTCATGGACACACCCACATTCCATTCTGGTCAGTTAGAACATCTGTGAGTCAGTATAGTTTCAGTTACCATGAGCAATGAGCCACAACAAAAGAATGTAGTTTTGTCATTCAAAAATACACAAGCGTTCTATTATTTACATTAGATTCAAAAATTCCCAGGTTAAAAAAAAAAATAAAGTAGATAAGCAAAAAAAAAACCTTCCCTAATCTGGGAAATAAAGCTAATAAGCACTAAAGGCAATTTAAAAGAAATGATATATCTTAAAGTACACAAACTCAACAGGTCAATAAATATAAGTAGCCCTTTCTTATAAAACTATGTCAGAAATGTAAGGATTCTTTTAAATATAAGGTATATTCCTTCAAATATCACACCTTCTTCAAACAGTAGAGGCATAAAAAACAAAACACTGTAATAACTAACAATCTGGAAATAAGATATTCCACCTGAACGAATCTCAGACAACTGAAGCTTAAATCCCCTTGACAATTCCTGCCACACACCCCCCACATCATTTGACAGAATTTTTTCTAGGAGACATTACTGATATCCCTGCCTTCTTAAACAGAGTAGACTCAATATTAATTAACTTCTTGTTATTTTCAATATGTCCTAGTAGCTCTTTCCCAGGTCAACACAGAGACTTTCATTTAATTCTGAAAAATAAGTAGAAACTCCATTCAAAACAGTAATAGCATGTTTGTTTATTTATATTCGGCCAACATGAACAGAAGGATTTAAGTTATCTCACAATAAAAAAACCATTTTATAATGTATTTTAATTGTAGCTTTTTTTTTTTTTTTTTTTTTTTAAGGTTTCTATATGGAAAGTTCTAGCTTGGCACACCTAGTTCTGGGTTTCCCCATACTATTCTTGAACTGGGATGACCATCATCCCTGAACAGAGCTTCTGACTTATGAGTAGTAAGTTTTTGGTTTTAAATTCACCCAATAACAACAACAATCACTAATGATTACATAGGACTTAATATAAAGTACTTTCGCTGCCTGGAACACGCTCTCATTTCATTCTCAACACCTTACTTATTAGGTTCTGTTTCTACTACTGTTTTAGAGATGAGAAACTGAGGCACAGGTTAAGTAACACACCATAGGTCACATAGCTAAGAAGTAACAGGCAGGATTTGAACCAGGCTCCTGAGTCTGGGCTGTTAACCATTATGCTATAAATTGTCTCTTGACTAAATCTAATTGCTCTTTTTAAGAACTTATTGTCAGCAAAACTAATATCAACAAAAGTTTATAAATGCTATTGAGTGTGGAGGTGCTTAGTTTCCCTGAGTTTGGGTCACAAGACACTCCCCTAAGTCTAAAACCATTCCCAGAGATCTCAGGCCCCTCCCGTGGGCCCTGAGTTACTGTTGCATGTTGCACCTATCTTCAGCACCAATACAGGGAGATTGCCACTGCAGGATGCATGTTAGATCAATTTCAGTGGCCAAGTATGTTCAGTAAAAAGGAGTTTGTTCTTAAATGACCTTCCACTGGAGGTGCTAGAGATCACCCAGTATATTTTAAGTATACTTGGATTATATGCTGGAATTTAACTACTGAGCATGCTCAAAAATGAACAAACAGAGCATGCACAGGCTAGGAGTTACTTAAGAGTTACATAACTGGGAACCATGCTCTTAGTTAAATATTCATAGATAGCATGGATATGTATATAGATAGCCAACTATAAAAGTTGGAAGCCAAGACAAAGCAAGGTTGCTGCTCACTCTCAAGCCAGTCTGCACTTCTGCCAAAAAGTGTGTATTTCCTACGATATTAAAAACTTGCTGTCACTCTCTACTCTGATTCTGCCCTTGAATTCTTTCCCCGGAAAGAATAAACAACCTGGTAGGGGATGGGGTCAAAAGGTCAGTCATCTGACCACCCCAGACCCTCTCCTCTGATATCACTATCAGCTGATCATAATAGATGTCTGCCTTAACTGCTTGTTAGTCCATGAATGAACAGGAGATGGATTCTTTTTTCTATTTCTGGTTGGTCCATGAAGAACATTAAAAGACATTGCCCTGGGGACCCTGTCTAGATCCTGATTCAAATAAACTGCAAAAACATGAAACACTTGGGGAGATCTGAACACTGACAGAGTATCCAATGATATTAAAGAATTAGTTTTAATTTTGTAGGTGAGATAATGGCATCATACTTTAAAAAAAAAAGTCCTTAGCATTTAGTGATAAATACTGAAGTATTTATGTATGAAATTTTAGAATTTGCTTCAAAATAATTCAGATGGATGGGTGAGAAGGGGATACAGTAAAACAATATGGCCGCATGTTGATAACTGCAAAAGCTGGATGATTGGTGCATGGTTATTATACTACTCTACTTTTGTGTATTCTGAAATATTCTTCAATAAAAAAAGAACACTGCTAAAATGTTCTAACAGTTACCATTGTATATAATTATTTGTCCATGGTTATTATACTACTCTACTTTTGTGTATTCTGAAATATTCTTCAATAAAAAAAGAACATTGCTAAAATGTTCTAACAGTTACCATTGTATATAATTATTTGTGTTTAAAATAATTTGCACTTAATGGCACTCTTCTATAATTCAGCAAAATGTTACTGGATGTATTTGATGTTAGGGAAAATATCTCTTAATAGGAAAGATCAATCCCTGACTTCATGAAGCTCACATACTGGCAGGAAATATGTTCAACAGGTAAATGCATCAAACAGGTAAATGCAAGTGTGATGAGCACCAGAAGAGGTGATCTCCCAAATGAAGAAGGGAGATCAAACTGCAAGCTAGAGGTTAAATCAGAGTTTGCCAGTAGAGTTTGGCCGTAGAGGCAAGGAGAGGGACAGTGTGTCAGTCAACACTACAGCAGGGAGGAGAACCAATGGAGAACAGTCTTGTTTGAGGAAAAGAGAGTTTAGGATGATTGTAGCCTTTCTCAACCAGTGTTACCCAGAGAATTAAGCCCCCAATGCTCTGGCACTGATGTAATGACGTAATTTCTTTTCTATGTTTGTAGGATGGTATTGTTTATGAATCACCTTTGGGAGAACTGAGAAAACTGTCTCTCAAATAATTATCTGTGTTCAATGGTTCTGAGAGGGAATCCTGATTGAGAAATTCATTTTATACACTTTCCGTCCTTTTCAGACAAGGAACTGTAACAGAAGTTCATCTCACTGTGCAAAAATGTTATGAATGCTATAATTAAGCACCCAATAGTTGGAACCAGTTCAAATAGTTCACTCATGACCAGTTAAGGAAAAGATCTCAAAGCTGTTTATTCCAACTGTAACTGATCTAACTTTTCATAATATAAACCATACATATGAGACCATACATATTTTTGAGCACGTTCTAAAGTGATCTAAACAAGAAACGTTTCAACTGAGATTTGTACTAGCTTCAGAGTGACATTTTTAAGTAAAATGAAATACAATTTTAAGCCAACTTTCAAAAATTCTTTCTATCCATTACTTAGAAGACCGCATAGGTTAACGTTTTAAGGAATCTTATTCTGGCTTAGTAACAGAAAATAATATGTCCTTTTTAACTTCAATGTAAGTGAAAGATATTTGATGCATAACCTACCCTATTCTTTAAAGATAATATAAAAACGTGTTCTGGGAGATGGTTTTAGTCTCGCCATTCTCCTTGCCACCAGTATTCCTGAATAATAGCTGACTTCCTATTCCACAAAAAAATAAATAAAAAGTTTTTTAAAAAATAAAAATATATGTTCTGGAGTTTTCTATCAGAGTCTTTAAATAAGGTGAACAAATTGATTTGTTTTCCCCAAGATGAATGAGAATTTGAAGCAGAAAAATGGATAACCGTCATGTTTGAATACAAGTAAACTAATTAATTGCTGAAATATGTACTTAATACCTTAGACTTAAGGAATTCTAACTACATCCTGAAAAAAGAAAGCATTACTACTCTCCGTAGCATTTAAAGTTTGAATCTAGTATAGAGACACTTTTAGGCACATTTTGCAACAACAAAAAATGCCAGTTTGAACCCTGCACAACAGTCTCAAGAAAGAGGAACTGTCCTGGTGTAAAAGGGAGTGGACAACGGGCAACATGAAACTCCTGAATGTGTCACCGTGCATTCGCAGCAAGAAGCTCAAGTCAGAGAAATAATCGACACGACAAGAATAAAAGATGAAGCACGTTTTGTTGTCACGATATGCACCACAAGCACCGAAAGGCTTATTTCTTTAGCCTATTTTTTTTTAACTGTGGGCTGGTAATTTTGGTTAGTGCACCATACTCGGCCAGCTAGCACTATTCCCTTTCAACTAAAGTGTCAATCCAAGACATGAACTGCACAAGTGAGCCGAGCAGTAAGATCGGAAGGAACTACTGACTTTCTAGGAACAGAGGCAATGGCTTCAGGAACCTGCATATTGTCGCGTTTTGCTGTCACTCCCTCAACAGCATCTAAAAGGCATAACTCCTCGGCGGGCCGCGGGCGCCCCGCGAATCGCACCCCACTCCATTTCCAGGCGGCGGCCGCACACCCGGCACTGAGTCACGCGGCACCAGACTCCACCCTGCAAGTCGGTCCAGCTTTTCCCAGCACGACTGTCCCCTCAGGCCCAGGCCTCACCCCCGGGAGGGTGAGGAGGGGACAGGACTGCACTGCAGGGGGCATTATAATCACCGGGGCTGGCAGTCTTTTCACTACTGCCTTTTAGGCCAGACTCAAAGCTCTCCTCCCAGAGTTTCACCTGTTAGGACAGGAGCAACGACATCGCAGACGGACACGAGACGCGAGCGGGAGGCAGCCCCGGACACCGCCCGACCCCGGCCCGACCCCCGCCCGCACCCACTGCGCACGCGTGCGCACGCGCTCTCCGCCGGCGGGCCCAGAGGTTGACAGGACAAGGAAGCGGAGGTGCAGGCCGGGGTGGGTCACGGCTGGCCGCGCCTGCAAATTCTCTCACCTCCGTAAACGGGTCCATCGCCCCAGACGTCGCGTGTGGACTATGAGACGATGGAAACGGTGGTTCAAATTCAGTAACAGAAAATAAGTGAGTCTCCGCTCAGTGGGTCTCCTGGAGAAAGCAAGGAGTCCCCAGCAGGGGAGACCTCCTCTTCCCTCAGCCTCCACCCCGCCGGCACCCACTGCGCACGCGTGCGCACGCGCTCTCCGCCGGCGGGCCCACAGGTTGACAGGACAAGGAAGCGGAGGTGCAGGCCGGGGTGGGTCACGGCTGGCCGCGCCTGCAAATTCTCTCACCTCCGTAAACGGGTCCATCGCCCCAGACGTCGCGTGTGGACTATGAGACGATGGAAACGGTGGTTCAAATTCAGTAACAGAAAATAAGTGAGTCTCCGCTCAGTGGGTCTCCTGGAGAAAGCAAGGAGTCCCCAGCAGGGGAGACCTCCTCTTCCCTCAGCCTCCAGTGTCAGAGTCGGCCTCCGGCGGTCGTTCAAATTTGAATTTCAGCGCCGGAGACGCGCGCATGCGCGCGGCGGGGGGGCGGGCCCCAGGGTGGCCCCGCCTCCTCCGCACGGCCCCCGGAAGCCCGGGCGGTTGGGAGGAGGGGCCGTGGGGCACACCCCGCCCTTCGGCAGCCTCCGCGCCCACCGCGCTGCTCACGCACCCCACCCTGCTCGAACGGATCCCTTCACACCCACTGCGTCTGGGCATTCCCGCCTCCCGTCATTCCTGAGGAAAGGATGAATCGCGCTCGGCTTGGCCCGCGGGCGTTCCGGCTTTCCTTGGCTTTCTCTTCGCCCGCCACCCCCGCCCCGCTTCCCCATGAGGGGTCTGCAGGCTTGGCCCTCCTGAGAGGCTGGTCGGGCGTGTCCCTGGACACTTGAGGCCGGTAACCCTTTTGGGAGCTGGAGGCCTTTCTCATCGGGAAGATAAGGCTAACGTGAACAGACTGCGAGCGAAGACTTCATACACAAAACTCTTGTCCTGCGCCCTGTTTGAAGTCCCATCCAGCTGCACACAGTGTTAGAGCCGAAAGAGTTGTGACAAGCCCACCAGTCCAATCCTTCCTTGTACAGCTGAGAAAAGGGGTTGGAGTGAGCAGGACTGAAGCCCTGTTGGGACCTAAAGCTGCCTGGGCTGCGAAGGGGGGCAGGATTTTTAAAGGACGTTTTTTCTCTCCACTCTTGTTTCCCATCCCCTGACCTCCTTATCTCGCTCCCTAAGTAAGAAAACAAGGCCGAGAAGCTAATTAGTACTTTGTAAAGAGAAGCTAATTAGTACTTGGCCGAGAAGCTAATTAGTACTTTGTAAAGCTAACAGTTCTTTCTTTGAGACTTGTAGAGTTTTGAGAAATGATCAAGGCCAAATGACTAAAGCAGAGCAAATTAAAATCTTGCAGGGTCCTGAAATAATAGCGAAGATGAGAACAGAAACCAGATGAGGCCATGGCAAGACCTTGTACCTGACCCATGGACACGGACCCCTTGTAACTCACATCTGCTTTTCACCTCCCACATTCCATTCCCTCAACCCTTCCTTTAAAAACCCCTCAGTAAATGTAAATCTTTGAGATGGGGTAGCCTACCATCTCCTTCAGCTGAATACATCTGCTTTTCTAACACCAACTGTTTGACTTCTGAGTTTTTTTCTTTCCTTTTCAAGGGGGCGGGCAGCCGGACCTGAGTCCGGTAACAGAGGGACATGTGGAGACAATAAGTAACCGGTCAAGGAGAAATGAAAATCCTGTTCTCAGCTCATGATCCGCTTTCCACCCTACATCATGCTGTTTCTCATGCTTATTCCTTATAGAGTACTTTGAATTGTAAGATGTTTCATACTTGCTGCATCAGAATCATTTCTAGTGTAGCAAGTCCGTGCTAGGGCTTGTAAAGAAGACAGTTTTTGTACTGAAAAATAACACCTGTCTAGATTACAGCCCAACAGCTGAACAAAACAGAACTATTCCTCCAAGTAAGATGTTTCAGTGTATTTAACAACGTTTCGATCTTAGCAGTCAGCAAGCACAACAAGAAGTATTTCACCAATATCTCTAATTTGAATTTTAATGCTATAGATTTTAAAGAATCAAATTCTGGGCTTGGCGTAGGGAGCTTGAGGACCATCTCCACCAGGACCTCGTGACCTTAGACTAACTTAGCATAACTCCATTTTGTTGTTTACAAGTTTGTAACTTTATTTTGATGTTTTTAAGTTTAAAAGTGTTAACTTAAAACTGCAAGGGCTGACCCCGTGGTGCTCCCGCCGCGGGTTCGGATCCTATATAGGGAT